TTGACATGTTGTAAGACACTGAAGTAAACTCTGAAGGAGAATTTATTCAGTGTGCAATATTAGTAGACTCTTAACCCGTAAGTACGGGAGAGTCTCTTAAGCAACAAGTTTGGTTACAGGACATAAAAGAAGAACTTGATTCTATAGAGAGAAACAAGACTTGGAAGTTGACTGAACTTCCAAAAGGCAAGAAAGCCATCAGCGTCAGATGGGTTTTCAAGTAGAAGCTAAAGCCAGATGGATCAATTGGAAAACACAAAGCGAGATTAGTAACAAGAGGCTTCCTACAGAATCCTGGGTTGGATTACTTTGAAGTGTTTGCACCTGTAGCGAGACATGAAACAATCAGACTAGTAATTGCAATAGCTGCTAACAAGAATTGGCCTCTGATGCATTTAGATGTAAAATCTGCATTTCTGAATGGTCCATTAAAAGAAGAGGTGTACGTTTCACAACCTCATGGATTTAAGAAAAATAATCAGGAAGGGGTGGTGTTCAAATTACACAAAGCATTGTATGAATTGAAGCAAGCGCCCAAAGCTTAGAATTTGAAGATTGGTTTGTTTTTCAAGGAACAAGGGTTTCAGAAGTGTGCGATGGAGTATGGTATTTATGTTCAGCATACTTCAGAAGGTAGTATGATTATGGTATGTTTGTATATTAATGACATATTACTCACATGAAGTTCTAAACAAGAGATAGCTGAGTTCAAGAAAGTTCTGATGAATGCTTTTGAGATGACAAATCTTGGAAAAATGAGTTTCTTTCTAGGGATGGAATTTATGTACTCTGAGAAAGGAATCATTTTACATCAGATGAAGTATGAACTAGAGCTTCTTAAGAGATTTAAGCTAGAAAATTGCAAGGTTGCTATCACACCTGCTTATACGAATCAGAAGTTGGATTCTGATTCTAATGGAGGGGATGTGAATGCTACAACCTTCAAATAGATGGTTGGTTCTCTAAGGTATTTGTGTAATACCAGACCTGATATTTGCTATGCAGTTGGAATAGTTAGCATATTTATGATCAAATCAAAGTTGTCCCATTACCAAGCTGCAGTCGGGATTCTGAGGTATGTGAAGGGAACTCTGAAATATGGAGTGTTATTTCCGTCTGGAAGAAAGATCGAATAAGAACTTCTAAGTTATTCTGATTTTGATTGGTGCGGAGATAGAGTTGACAGAAGAAGTACTCCTGGGTACTTATTCAAATTTCTGGAAGGTCCTATTTCTTGGTGTTCCAAGAAGCAACATGTTGTTGCTCTGTCAACTTGTGAAGCTGAATATATTGCAGGTGCTCTGACTGCATGTCAAGCTGTGTGGATTCTGAACTTGCTAAAAGATCTGAAGATTATATCTTAGATCTTCTTAGATCTTTGTAGAAGATATATTTTAGATTTAATTTTGTGTATAAATAGCCTAGTGGAGTAGGTTATTGAAATTCATTGTAAATCCTTATTTTGAAGCTATCAGTAAATATTCCTTTTGTCTTTTATCTTCCTTGTGCACCAACAGAAAACACTTTACAGGGCAAGTATTTAAATTATCGTTTTCCACAAAGATTAGTGTGATATTACCGCCGTTCTACAGTTATAATCGTTTTAAGCTTACGTTTTATAAAAGGGTTTAATTTTGATTTTAGTAACGAAAAATATCGATTTCATGCAAAGAATCAAATATAGGTAAAATAAAGTTTTGGTTTTAAATGTTTGGTAAAAGCGTGTCAAGATTAGGGCTCGATAATCTCTTTCATACGTATTTTCTCAATAAAGTATGTGAACTCATTAACAATAAACATAATCACATATCCTTTCAAGATGTTTCATCTCTAAAACAAATTGTGAGTTTTATCAAATTGATCCTTAGATGATCCCTCCACCTAACTATCAATTTGATAACTTTAAAAACTCAATATTAGTGAATATCAACTCAGAAAAGTATGTATAGAAATTGTTCATTGATAAGTGAAAATCTAGGTCAAGAGATGAACATACTTCTCAATAATGATCAACTCAAATATAAACCATAAAACAAGAGTTTTCACCATATATTTATCATCAACATGTTCGCATATAAAATATCAAGCTAAATACATACAAATATGAAGATTATCTACCTCTAATCTTGACACAAAGAAATATTTAGCTACCCATCACCATCGTAGTTTGATCAACAAGTAAAGTAGAAAGCTTGATGAACATAAAGTAGAAATTATCAAAGATATAAGGTAGAAATCTTTGATCTTGAGTTACAAAAATAAAAAGTATTTCTTAGACCTAAATATCTGATTTTAGTGTGTGTTTGATAAGAGTTGGTTTCCAAAATATCACAAAAAATGCTACTTATACAAGTGTCAAAAAAGTGAGTCCCGCTAAGCAGCCCGAGTGCGCTAAGCGGACTCAACAAAAATATCCTTTTCTGATTCAGCAGACCGCGCTAAGCGGAATGAGACCGCTTCGCGGGCCCAAAATGACATTCTTCCAAATGCGCAAATCTTCATAGCGTGCTGCAAATTGCTTTTAACGCGCTAGCCTGAACAAATCTCCAATTTTTCACTTGTTGCACATCACTCTTAGCTCTAGCTTGCCAAAGCTCCAATGCTCCAATGACCAACATCAAAACCTACAAAATGAGCATAAAACTAAGTAAACAAAGTAATTTACCACATAAACTATATAATTATTTATTTACATCTATTTACAAACTTAAACAGTACTAATTATCAAAATAGAGTGCAAAAGACACAAAATTATCTACAAATATATCAATATTTTGGTCCTTATGTGAAAAGCTAAAACTACTTATGAAATACATAAATACATTTTTAGACGCATCTCAGTTCACATTCAATTCATTTGCAAGTAAGTCAGACTCTAATTTTTGACAAAAATTAATACGAAAATACATCTCTGTATAACTTACAAAAGTGCATATTTGGACGAGGTTCTAATCTAAAAAGTGCAAGACCCTCCCCGTTCCTCATTTCCAACAAACTCTTTCAAACTCTCTCCGAAATTCTACTCTCGACATCCAATCAGTCGAAATTGATATATCTTTTGATGACTGGAGAACCATGAGCCCTTCAGATGATGAAAGAATACGTGACAAGTATGACGTTTGCTTCATTCTTTTTTTATGATCTCAAATAACTAATCAATTTTTTATAATCGAATTTGGGTATAGATATAGAATATCTAAATAGTCAGTTATTTTGAGCACCTCTAAATATTTCTCTTAATTAATAAAAAAAAATTAAACAATTTGTATTGTCATTTAAGCTTAGATAATTTTTTTAAAAAATTTGATAGAAATTAGATACCCTCTGTCTGCTATTATAGAGATTAATCTCTCATACTCGGTTGTGTTCGAATTCAAAACCTTTAATTATACTAGAAAAGATTATTTACCATCTCAACCAAATGCTTTTGTTTATTTGACAATTATTATTTATTTAAAACTTGAAATTTAACCAAAAAAAAATTATTTTTTATCAAATCTAGTTTGTCTAACAATTATTGTCTTATTTAAACTAGACATTAAGGGTATGTTTGTTCCATCTTTAAAAAAAATAGATTTTTTATTTGTATTTGTGAAAATAGATTTTAAGAAACTGTTTTTCAAATTATTATAAAAAGTTTTTTTTTTTTTTTTAAATTGAAACACTAATTTTGACATCCTATAAATATAAATATATATTATTGAAGACCAAAATATAATAAATATATATTTATAAAATATAAATATATAATATAAATATATATTATTGAAGACTAAAATATAATAAAAATTGTAACTTTTTCAAAAATTTATATTTCAAAAATGATTTTTATAAAAATATATTTGAAATACTTTCAAAATTAAGTGATTTTTTAAAATTTTAATATCTAAAAAAAATTTCAATAAAAAAATAAAATATCTAAAATAATATTTTAAAAATAACTATTCAAGCTAAATTTTTATTTGAAATTTTTATGAAAAATTTCTTTAAAATTTTTTTTACTCAAAATTACCTAACACTATAAGAATCATTTTTAAAAAAAAAACAAAACAAACGGGTCCTAATACACATCAAAATGCTTCTAAATAACATCGTTAAAAATAACACAACATACAAAAAAAAAAATATGTCACCACTTAAATACATTGAAACATAAAGCTAACATGCATATGCCATCACCTAAATTTTGTTGAAGGAGTTCACTAAGGAGCATTGTCCTTCGGGACTTGTCCTACTCCCCCTCGCAACGGAACACCTCTTTCCTTTGATATTATTTGTTGAAAAAATTATTAGAAGTATTGATATAAAATTGAGAATTATGTATCTTTGTGAAAGACATACCGCTTATTCACCTAAAACTTTAAAGTGATAGTGAGTGTGTCCTCTCACTTATTTATGTTCAAGTTACCATATTATTATTTTATGTAGGACTATTTCTCCACTTACTTATTCTTGCATTATTATTCTAATAAATTTATATCTATGAGTAGTTCCGCGTTGACTTTTATCAATTTGATTCTCTTTTATTTCAATAAATCAGGCAAACTCTTTCATCCTATCAAAACAATTATTTGGCTAAGTTTCAAGTTCTTTTCTGGAATAAAATGTCTAACTAGAGGATGTTTATGGAAGCCTTGTTGTATAGGTTAGACTCAATTGATAAAATAAAAATAAATTTTATTAAACCACAATTTTCTTTTGAGAAATTTTTGTGAGGGGCCTTGATTGGTCAATGAAGACTTTAACGTAACTCTCGTAGTTACTTCTCTATCTCTCGTGTATTTTTTCTGTTATTCTCGTTACTTGCCCTCAAACATAGCATCCAATTACACAACCTCGTCTTCAATGTTCACTCATCATTTTTCTCATTTTCCATCTCTACATTGTCCTAGCCAGCTACGAATTTCTCCAATTATGTATAATCTTTTTCATTTTTACAATTGCATTATGATCCAAATGATTTCTTTTTGAGCACAGGGAGAAAATTCATCTCTTCAACAATGAAAGATTCAAATGCGGATCATAGCTGTACTTCACCGAAAACTCCAAATTTTCGACAAAGACGGCGTTTAAACGAGGTTTGTTTAAATGATTCATATACCGAATATGTTTAAGTGAAAGAAATTAACAATAACTCGTCTTTTGATGATTCGGTTACTTTTTTTTCTTTTTCTATCAGATTCTTCCTGATATAAACAAATCAAATGGAATCCTTTTACTTGCAAATGATAAATATAAATACAAATCAATGTGGATTCGCGCATATTCGTCTCTATGGATGCTAGCATGCGTCGCACTTATCATATACATGGGTCATCTTTACATCTGGGCAATGATGGTTGTTATCCAAATTTTTATGGCTAGAGAGCTCTTCAATCTACTGAGAATAGCGAATCAAGATAAACGTCTCCCGAAGTTTAAGCTCTTGAACTGGTAAGCACGACATTGCAAATCCTAATTCAGTTCACTCATGATGTTTAGTTCGCATAAAAAGATTAGACTATGAACACTACGAAATTGTTCAGGCATTTCTTCTTCACGGCAATGCTATACGTATACGGCCGTATCCTCAGTCAGCACCTTGTGAATACAGTCACATCAGATAAATTTTTCTATAGACTTGTCAGTAAACTCATCAAGTATCAAATGGTTATATGTTACTTCTTATACATTGCAGGTTAGTACTAGTGTCCGGTTTTTTCCTATAGTGTATGAAATTGATTTATGAGTAAGTTTTTTTATGTATGATTTCTGATTTCAGGTTTTGTATGGTTTATTCTTTCATTAAAGAAGAGATACTACAAGTATCAATTTGGACAGTATGCATGGACACATATGATACTTATCATTGTGTTTACACAGTCTGCATTCATGGTAGCTAATATATTTCAAGGAATTTTCTGGTAACATTTCTTCTGATACATATTAATTTATTCTTTTAGTGTTAATGTTATGCTCTCATAACATGTCATGTTATTTTGAAGGTTTCTTTTCCCTGCGCTTCTTATTGCTATGAATGATGTTGCTGCGTATTTCTTTGGTTTCTTCTTTGGGAAAACACCTCTAATCAAGTTATCTCCGAAGAAAACATGGGAAGGTTTTATTGGAGCGTCTGTTGCAACTATGATTGCTGCCTTTACAGTAAGCATCGATTAGTAAAGGAAACTGTTTGATAGAAAATTGCAATAACAAACTTGAAAATAATTGACTTTGCATTATTTGTTTCAGTTTGCAAAACTTTTTGGGTCGGTTTCAGTGGCTAACATGTCCAAGGAAGGTAAGAATCTTGATTTAGTGGAGTCATGTAAGATTAAGGACATGTTTGTTGATCATTTGGTGCGATAAATTCAGGATTTATCAACTGGTTGGCTTGAGTGTGACCCTGATCCAATTTTTAAGCCAGATTACATTCCAATGCTAGGACTTGTTCCTCATGGGGTAAGTGAGGAATCTTTATGTTGATGTGATTAGCATTCATATTTCGATGTTTATAATAATTTTATGACTTTATAGATGAAATTTTTCATTCTGCGACATTTCGTAGATACCTGAGAAAGAGATAGCAGTTTTGCCAGTACAGTGGCATGCTTTGTGGCTAGGACTATTTGCGTCCATCATCGCACCGTTCGGAGGATTCTTCGCTAGCGGTTTCAAAAGAGCTTTTAAAATCAAGGTATACTCTTGATCTTTACAGTAGGGTTTATTTTGAGCCATGTATCATTAATCTCTTCCAATGAATTCAGGACTTTGGTGACAGTATACCTGGACATGGTGGATTTACTGACAGAATGGACTGCCAGGTTTGCACATAGATATATTTACTTTTAAGGTCATTGTGCCATCTTCATTTCAATGCTTAGAACATGCTCATAAAAAAAACCTTAAATTTCTTGTTATGAGTATGACATATGCAATATACAATATTTTGAACTGTTGTTGTGACTGTTGTGTTTTATAATGTGTTATTCATCTTTTTCAGATGGTGATGGCTGTTTTTGTTTACATTTACCACCAGTCATTTGTTGTCCCCCATGACTATTCCATTGATGTGCTTTTGGATCAGGTGAGCTTGTTTCTTTAAGCAATTCATTCTATAGTTTTCAATCATGTGAAAATTAGAAGATTTTGTTTTCTATCTGTTACTTTTTTTCTTATAGGTCAAACAGAAGGGTATGTTTCACGGGACATTTCCTAGAGACCGAAAAAATTTAATTTCTATCATGAACTATGAAACCCTGACATAGACACTGACACATTGAAGAAATTGAATTTGAATGTGCCGGACACCAAACACACTTTTAATCATCAGTGTCAATGCTACATAGGCCATAATCATTTCATTTTATATTTATTGTGTAGATAATGAGGGACCTTGGTTTTGAGGACCAGCTAGCTCTTTACACAAAACTTGGACAGATATTACAAGAAAGGCATCTACTCTAGACATAACAAGTTCACTATGTACATTCTATCAAGCATGCATCAATTGGTGTACAAATGGTGGAGATTGATAAAGAATCTTTCTGAGGCCACTCTTTTAAAACAGCTGAGTATATTTAGTAGTGAGTACAGAGATCCTTGAATATCACATTGCTTATTTCTCTTTCGGGATTGACATTGACATTTTAAGCATACGTGAAACGAGTAATACATCGGTGTTTTTCAAAGCTGTTGGAAAGAACTGAGTTTTAAATAGATTATGAGATTTCTTTCTAGCATGGAAAGGGTGTAAATGGAGCTCTTTATAGGACTTACTGTACTATTTGCTACTGTTTTTCGTTATTGCTTTCTACTTTCAATGGAAAAGATTTATAATCACTAGTAACACACAAAATTTATTCTTTAGTTCTTTCTACAAAATTCAATCAAGAATAGTTTATTTTCTCGTAACTTACATCAGCCGAAAGAAGACTTTTAAATGGATCTGCAATTTCTCTTTCCTGGTGCTCGCCTCTCATATTGTTATGTACTGAATGTCTGCATTTTCTCTCAACCATTCAAGTACCTTAGCTCCTTCCAGTATTTCTTGAACCTTCAGGAAAATTCAAACAGAACATATCAATCAATCTATAAATTAGGAAAGAAAGCAGTTCAAAACACAAATTTCCTATGATTGCATAATAATGCACTTACTTTTGTTAATCAACATACTACACAATTCTTTCGGATTCCTTTGTTCTTAGCATTTGGGTTCGAGTGCCCTTTATACTCTATTATTATTTATAATATATATGTATATTTATTGTTTAAAAAAACCATGCAAGTTGGAAGTGTTTATCCCTACGCGGGATTCATTTTAAAGACCGATCATAATAAATTTAATTTGGATACGCATAAATGCAATGATTAAGAAGCCGAAACATAAAACTAAATAAAATAATAGCAAGCATATTAAAGAAGTAAAGTGAAAACCTGATCCTTTATTCGTTCCTCATCATACTCTTGTTGTGAACGTTTGAATTCAGCAACAGAATTCTCAACCTCTTTGACGATGTCTTCAATAGGGATCTAGAGAACAAGTAGGCACAGATCATTCTAGTAAGCCAGATAATTTACTAAATACACTATACAGCTTAATAATAAAGAATGTGATATGTAAATAAAATGTTTTTCGCAACCAGATTAAAATGAGTGGCCCTAATACACTTTTAACCTATGAAGCACAGACTCCAACAA